CCATTGCATTGATTTCTGCTCTAATCTTTATAATTTCCTCCCTTGTATGAGCTTTGTGTTTGTCCTGTTCTTCTTTTTCTAGAAGATGAGGTTCATCATCAGGTTGTGTAATTGAACTTGCTCTGTTTTCCTAATGTGAGTATTCACTACTATGAATTTCCCTCATAAGACTGCTTTCATTGTGTCCTATAGATTCCGATGTGTTGCATTGGCATTGTCATTTAATTGTAGAAACTGTCTGACTTCTTCTTTAATTTGCTCTGTGACCCACTGATTATTCAGAAATGCGTTGTTCAATTTCCATGTGTTTATGAAATTCCTGAGGTTTCTTTTGCAATTGATCTCCAATTTCATCTCACTATTGTCTTATAATATACAAGGGATAACTTCAATTCCTTTGTACTTATGTGGTCTATTTTGGAGAACAACCCATATGCAGCTGAAAAGAATGTGTATTCTGATTTTGTGGGGTGGAACACTTTGTAACCATCTGTGGAGTTCATTTGTTCAAGAGTTTGATTGAGTTCACTGTTTATTTTTTGTCTAGGTGATCTATTTATTTGTGGTATTGAGGTCCCCCACTATTATTGTATTAGTGCATATATGACTTTTCATGTCCATTAGTATTTGTTTTATATAGTTGGGCACACTAGCATTTGGTGCACATATATTTATGATTGTCATCTCTTCCTGTTGGATTGTTCCCTTTACAAGGATGTAGTATACTTCTTTGTCTCTCTTAATCAGTGTTGGTGTGAAATCCACATGATCTGCAAAGAGGATAGCTACTCCTGCTTTTTTTCAGGTTCCTGTCATATGGAGTATTGTTTTCCCCTGGGGCTGTGCACCCCAGTCCCTGGTTTCTGAGTGGACTTTTGGCTGGGGCCTCCATGCACTTACTGATGGACTTTGGGCAGCCCACTGGCTGTTGCTTGTGTGCCTGTGCAGCTCTTTTCTGGATGGGCCTTTGGCTTAGGCCTGTGTGCCCACAGGGCTGGGACTGGGATGGGGCCATGGCTGGATCTGCGTACATTTGTGCCTCTCTGATTCATAGCACTGCTCGCTGGAATCTGCCCTGAGGGTCAACTTTATTAACAAACTCAAATTCCATGTGAATTAATATGGCATGAATCTTTAAATGTGTATTATGTATAGAGAAACAAAAATTAAAACAAAATTATTGTTATTATAATTTGTGCCATTTAAAAGAATACTTTTTTGTGTTTTAGTTATAGGATGAAAACAATTCTGAAAAGAGAGAAAATTACTGGTAATTAAACATCAATTTTTGTTTGTCAAGTATCAGATCCTCATAATAGAACCCTGGATTTTCTCAGCTAAACCACTGCACTGGTTTATGGCAGCATTATGGATACCCCCTCCTACCCCCACTTCCACCTTTGACAGTACTCTCAGAACTGTGATCAGGGCAAGAACTGACAGC